GATTATCTCGGCAAAGGAGAAGTGCTCACTAACACAGATTTAGACAGATTTGTGAACAATATTTGAGAGAAATAGGCCTTTTGTGTACATAGAAAAAGTCTTAGATCTTTGAGTTCAGCTCATGAAAAATGGGGGCAAAAACAAAAGTGTTGCGTTTATAATTTTGTTCAGTGTAGTTACTTCCCGTGACTACATGTAACTAGTTACTTCCCACTGATGGTTTTTCAGGTCTAAGAAATTGCATATATTGCTATAACTTGGGATTTCATATTTCCACTCTCCTAAACTCATTCTTTCCCCACTTTGTATCTTTCTGCAACTTGTGTGAATGTGTGAGTGCGTCTGTTTTCGTGTTAGATTAGTTTATGTCTTAGATTTGTCCAATAAAGTCTTATTTATATTGAAAAGAGAAGTATCTTGTGTTTTGTGCTTACAAGTTAATGTCTTAAACTGCCGATCTTGTTACCGTGCTAATAAATAGTGTTTTCACTATACTTTGGATATTAATATCTATTGCAGAGTTGATGTTATACGACCCGTTTAATTGACCGCTGGCCGGTTCTGTTGATCAGCCGTAGAACAGTGATTCTGTCACCATGTTATAAGTGAGATAACATATACTGTAGTTAGCTGGTTGTAATTTCAAAACAAACCCTTTTGATATTATTTTTAAATTAAACAGGTTTTCCTTTCCATCCCCTCCCAGCTGTCACACTTATGTTCAGATTATGTTATCATGGACTTTTAGTTTGTTTTCATTCATCACATGTGTTTCTTTGTCTTTATTTCCCGCCACTTCCTAATTTCTATGGTTAGTCTTATTAGCTAGTTTGTTTCAGCTGCCTCCACCACATTATCTTTAGTATGTAAGTTCTGGTGTCTTCCCTTTGAGTTTGTCCAGTGACGTTTCAGTTACGTGTGTGTATACTCCTGCCTGTTTGGATCGATACCTGTTCAGGGGCCTGTTTCATAAAACAAGTTTACCAAATAAGCCAGGTTTATTTAAGTTAGTCTGACTTATTGTCGGCTGATTTGGTTCAAAATAAGTCAGACTAACTGAAATAAGCCTGGCTTAACTTATTTTTATGGCTAAATTTAAAATATGGCTAAACTTGTTTTATAAAACAGCCCCCAGATTGTTATAGTAAACTTTATTTGTCCTTGTCTCCATCTGTTTGCCTGTGCACACTTGTGACACCAGCTATAGCAAACACTTTCTGATTTACTTGGCTTGCATTCATTTAATACAAAGTTCTGTCATGAAACTCTTGGCGCAGATCGATAGGTTCTAACTCAATCTGATATAATACCATAATTATTAACATTCGCATAATCCCATAATTTTTCGTAATCTAACCATAATCCATACAAGACAACAGTTTATTTTACCTTAACTGCTATTAAGTGTAGCATTTTTGACACTCAACAACACAACAAGATGACATTTTAAGCTCTTTATGTAGCCGACACTGTGCTGGTTTGTATTGGCCGCCTCCAGTTATTCCTCTGTTTTGTCTCCAGCTAGCGCTGTGTCGTAATCGTGACATCAACACTAAAAGGGTCTATATGTCTGAGGTCACTTTTTGTACAAAGAAACTGACACAAGAGGGCAGTTTGTGCAGCGTGTAGTGTAAAGCAGTTTTCAAACCTTTTTATTAACAAAAATTATGACTGTCAATACATTAAATATTATAAATAACATAAATATATAACACAATGTGTTAAATATGATTAATATTAAATGTTATAAGTGATATTTTAATAATACTGTATTCCAGGCAGTGTCAAAAAACTGTTTTGAGTGTTTCACTTCTCCCTCTTCTCAGAAAACAAAAGCGAAACTGATCTCCTGCTATTACAACTGTGTGCAAGAAATGGTTAGTGTGTCAAGTGGCAAAAGTGTATTTAATAGTTCTGTAATTATTCGCAGCATATCCATCTGGACCATTTGTTTTTTGTTTTAGTTCTGCAAATGTGGTATTTTTTTTCTATATTTTAATTTGTAAGCATAATAGAATGTATAGGCTTGTGCTATTGAGGACAGAAAATAGCCTATTAAAATTTTTATAAAAATCAAATGCATGTACATTCTCTACAAAAACATAAATTCAAAATGAAGATGTAGTGTTTACACTTTAAACTTTTGTAAAATTTCTTTAGAGTATAATTTAGGGGCACCCATTGACTTTACCTCACCGAAAAAGTTTTAGTTCTGAACAATTAAATAGAATAAAAAAGACACTAGACTCTATTTGAGGGTTAACCATAAACCTTTGCTTGTGATACTACCTGAGTGTCTTGCTAAATTTAGATTGCTTAGTTTTGTTTTGATTATATTTGTATTTGATAAAATACAAGTATCCACACTGCTTCCAGATCTCGATCACAAAAGGACAAAAACGTTTACAAAAAGTGAAGAGAAGAAATGAAACTCAAACTACATAGGCTTAATGTATAATCTGCTTTTTAGAAAGCCCCTCCCTCTTCTCAGGAAACAAAGTGTAACGTTACTGATCTCTCATTTCTGTTACAACTTCATGCAAGAGGTGGTGAGTAAGCGAAGAGGTATTAAATATTTATATTCATAGCTCACTTGAATCTTTTTTGTCTATATTTGTGTTACAAACTCTTGTTAATCTTGCCACGGCTATATATAAAAGATCGGCTATTTGCACTTTGCTTTGTCTTTTTATTGTAGTTTTTTTTTACCATTCCAGGAAGTGATCGGTTAGCGATATTTCTTCAAACACGGCGCTTTAAAACTCTTGACAAGCTAAAAGGCGTAAATTAAATTTGTATATATTAGAAATGAAAGATATAGATTATACTGAATGTCAGATTATTTTGCTCAAATACAAACAAAGCGATGCTGTTTGCGAATGTTGCGACTCGTTGAACTATTATCGTTGCACTATCGGCTTATTGCGATCGCATTACAACGGTTGTGATGTAATTATATAAATATATAATTGTATAAATGTATGACACGCTGCATGTTTCGGAATATCACAGCTTTCAGTTTCGATAAACAGGAAATGCTACTCTGCATGTAGAATGTGTCAGTAGCGATTTGTTGGGTAACACTTTATAATAACTTTAATTAATAAATCATTAACAAACATTATATAATGCTTAATGGGTCATTAGTTAATATATATTCAAAGAGATAGAAACGTGAGATAATGTGCTTGTTAATGTTTGCTAATAAACTAGATAATGTTCAAACAAATCATTATTTAATGCAAGTTAAAATGCTTACAAATGTCATTAAACTTTCAATTCCATTTGATCAAGCACTTATTGAAAATCGGGTTAATTTGATTACTATAAAGGAACACGGTTCAATCTGTTTATATTATATTGTTTTGATAAATTAGTATTTTCTTTTAAAAAATGATTCGTTTTCCAGTTTATTTATGATTTAAGGAATATCCTGTTTAATGATATACAGAAGAGTAGTATACTAATGTGAGTGTTGAGCCAATAAAAACATTGTTTGCTCCAAATTATTATTTAGCTAAACTTAACCAGCCACCCTTTACACAAACCTTGTTACACTAGCTAAACGTCCAATGCCCATAAAGATACTAAATGATCAGTAATCGTTTATAAACATTTACAAATGATGAATAATTTGAATAATGAAAGCATGAAGAAATAATTAATAGATTATTTGTTAAGATGTGTAAATAGAGGTCTACACAACAAAGGAAAAAAGTCCAACAAATGAAGATCATATGAACTGAAAGTTTATTTACATTAAATGATCATATGTTAATAATTAGGTAATGTTTAGTAAGTTCATTAGTACACATTAACAAGAACATTATCTCATATTTCTAGCTATGTATATATATATATTAACTAATGATCTGTTAAGCATCATATAATGTTTGTTAATGATTTATTAAGTAAAGTTATTATAAAGTGTTACCATTTGTTGTTTACATTTATGCAACTTACATGTATCAGACATACACTGATTTATATTTGTATTCTGTGTATTTCAGAAAGACCACATTTAATACCTCGTTGCCTGCCACAGCTGTACAATATCCAGTCGAATTGGATCACTGCTGATATATATTTGATGCCATTTACTGTGAGCATTCAAGATTTCATATATATATAAAGTTGAACAGTTCCCAGTCTCCTGTCACGGTTCTTAGCTGAAGCCCGTATTGGATGAGCACTCACCTACATACATTCAAAATACAGTCCACAACAATATAAAAGAGTCAAAGCTGCAAAATGGCAGAATCTTCTGATGACCAAAGTCCTTTTACCTGTCCAATCTGTCTTCATCTTCTGAAGAGCCCAGTAACTACAGCTTGTGGCCACAGTTTCTGTATGGACTGTCTCAATGAGTGCTGGGATCGGGACGATCAGAAGGGCGTTTACAGCTGCCCCCAGTGCAGGCAGACGTTCAGCCCAAGACCAGCTCTCAGCAGAAGCACTGTGCTGGCAGAAGTTGTCGAGAGAATGAAGAGAGAAGCGCCAGAAACAGAAACGGCCTCTACTGTACCATCTTTTGCTGTGTCTGGGGATGTGGTGTGTGATGTCTGCACGAAGACCAAAACAAAAGCCATCAAGTCCTGTCTGACATGTTTGGCGTCTTACTGTGAATCTCACATCAAAGCTCATAAATCTCCTGCGTTAAAGTGGCACAACCTGGTCAATATCTCGCCACATTTAATGGACCAGATCTGCTCTCAACATCATAAACCTCTGGAGCTGTACTGTTGCCAACATCAGCAGTTGATATGTGTGCAATGTGCTTTGATCACCCATCAGAACCACAAAATGACTTCACCTGCTTCAAAAAGAGGACAAATACAGGCAAGGAAACTGTTGTGTCTACGATATATATATATATATCCTATAGTCTAGTGAGTGTAGTGTCTGGAGCTGAGACTACCTAACACCCTGCCAAAACAAGATTTTTAAGCTATAGCCTGTATGATTTGTAAGGAAAACACTTGTGTGGTTGAGAAATTTGCTATTTGACCATTTAAAAATTTGTCTTTACAGATTGTTATGCCAGAAATGTTTATTTACTACAATTGATGTTTACTTTCATTGCTTGGTAACAACTTACATCACAGTGAAATAATTGCTACTGAAGCATCATACTAAACTATTATAAATTGCCTCACAGGAACAGATGGGGTCAAATCAGAATGTCCTAGAAAAAGAAATGCAGACGCGAGCGCAGAAGGTGCAGGAGTTAAGAAAAGCTGTGGCCTGTTTTAAGGTAAGTGCCCCATATGTTATTGTCTGGGGAGTTGGATTCCTAAATCCGTGTGCTGCTTAACAAGAGTTTTCCCTGCCATCTCACAGCACTCTTCACAGACAGCAGTGGAACATAGCGAGAAGGTGTTTACTGAGCTGATCCGCTCCATGGAGAAAAGACGAGCTGAGATAACAGAGGTGATCAGAGCTCAGGAGAAAGCGGAAGTAAGCAATGTTGAAGAGCTCATACGAACACTGGAGCATGAGATCAGTGATCTGAGGAAGAGACATGATGAACTGGGGCAGCTTTCACAGATAAAGGATGACATCTATGTCATTCAGGTAACAGAACGGACCACTCCTCCCTTCTACCGCTTCTTACTCCACCATATGTTCATGCACCAAGTGCTCAGGACATGCATATGCACACACATTTACAAAAAGATCTAATGCAACATCTAGTGATAATGTATAATGAGAGGGGTTTTTTAATTCATTGTGATCTCTGCAACAAAAGATGTAGAGTAAAATGTTTTCTCGCTGCTATTTCTATCTGCAGAATTTCTCTGCTCTTTCCCTCAACCAATTTTCAAACTTGAACAACATATCCATCAGCCAACATCTGACATTTGAGGAAATTGAAACAGTTGTCAGTTTGCTGAAAAGCCAACTAGATGATCTCTGTGATCAAGACATTGTGAGAATATCAGAGAAAGGTGAGATGACATCCTTTTTTTTTAAATGGTTTCATTCATCATATTGAGTGAGATTATGTATTTATACAATATTTTCACATCTTCTAAAGAGCACTATGCCTAAGCAGGTTGCATGATTTCAGGTCTCATCTTCATAGTACAAACTGCATGGGAACAGTTATTGGCCGAAGTGTGGAGCAATAAAAGTTATGAGCAATAATAAAAATGATGCTTCCTTCAGAAAGCATAAATAAATGTTGTAGTAGCAGTAGTAGTATCATTTTTGTGTAGTTGTTGCAATGGTTGAAAAATGTATTCTGATCTACTATATAATAGGTATATTTAATGTGAAAAGAATACTACATCAATAAATTATTATTATTTAGACAGAACTTTTTGTTGGATTGATTTGTCAAATCACCATCTTTAATTTGTCTAAAATAAGTTTAGAAAATCTAAAAAAATTCAAAAAGTATTGTTAATAACATCAAAGACAAGAAGGATACCCATAATTTTTCACCACTGTTTATACATCTGCCAAAAAAGAAATAGATCTCATTGTCATAATCATGGTAAACAAATATTTAATTTTGTTTTCCTAAAAGTTCCCACTATCCATATAATGACAAACAATGAGAAGATCGCAAAGTGTAAGTCAGCATGTTTTTTCTCTTTTTTTTTTTTCAAAACAACACTCAGATACACACACTTATATACTGTTTATACTGTTTTTATTTTAGATTTGCCATCTCGACCCATGTCCAGAGAAGAGTTCCTTATATGTGAGTCGTGCTCTGTATGTTTGCATTATTTGTCACATATATTTTGACATTGCAAAAAGGCAGACAGGATGGGAATAGAGAATACACACCCTAGAGAAGATTTTATTAAACAATAATACACACAAAGGCAGAATAAAAGGTGTATGCCCAATCCTGTTCCTGGAGATCTACTGTCCTGCAAAGTTCAGCTCCAACCCTGATCAAACACACCTGAACCAGCTAGTTAAAATCTTCAGTAGCACTTTATATTTACAGACAGCTTTATTGGAGCAGGGCTGGACCTGAAGTCTCCAGGTACAGTAGGTAGATTTCCAGGAACAGGGTTGGGCACCTCTGGTGATAGACATTCAAGTTGGGGCTGTGAAATAACAGGAGTGTGAAATAAAGTCAATGCTGAAGTTCATAATTAATTTCCTTTTCTGTTTAACAGATTCCACTGATCTGAAACTGAATTAATCATCAGCCTGCAAACAGCTCTGTATAAACCGCATGTCTGTGTCAAGGAGGAGTGATGTTCAACCATGCTTTGCTCCTGTGCCAAGGAGGAATGTCCTTCAATCACGCTCTGCTACCCTCTCCGCTAATAGCCTATTAGACTATGGAGATCAGAAATGTTTTAACAGTACTTACCAGGTGTCGTGCAAAGAAAGTTTATCTGGACGCTGTTATTTTGAAGTTCAGTTGGGAGGAGCAGGTTGCTCTATTGCATTCTCATATGATGCTCTTAGTCAAGGAGGGACAGGTTTTATCTTTGGCTCTAACAACAGATCCTGGAAATGTGATTTTCCAACTGCTAATGTTTGTGTGTGGCAAAGTAACCAACAGACTAATATTCCTGTGGTCTTTAAAATTGGAGTGTTTCTTGATCAAGATGCAGGAACTGTGTCCTTCTACAATGTCTCTGATAAAATGACCCTCCTGCACAGAATCCAGACCACATTCACTGCGTCCCTCTACACTGGGTTTTCATTTCAGAATTGGGAAAATAACTCATCAGTGACAATTTGTGAGCTTAAAAAGAAATAATCATGTAAATCCAAGGTTTTAGCCCCCTGACTGTCATTTCACCCCCCTAAAACTATAATCGCCTATCTTTTTATTTTATTTTATTTTTTTATTTTTGGCAAGAGTTGTCAAAATGCGTGTCTTGACAAACACAAACACAGTCTGTCTTAAGTGAAGGTAAACAACTAGAAAATATTGGAAATGTGTCAATATAACAGATCCATGATTGAGGTCTAAAGTGACAGCATTTGTTAATAATGTTAATCAAACAACAAAAGAAAAAGAGAGAATCACTCACTGCTCTTAATTAAATAATTGCTGTAGCTTTATTAGGTATCTGTGTATTTACTGCATACAGTAATACAGTTTTCACAAGCACTGTAAAGTACTGTTTAATTTGTATCTTTGTTCTGTTGTATTTGTGCTATTGCTTGTAGTTTGTTTATTTGTTCTTATTTTATTATTGACTGTTTACTTGTCTTTAATGTTTGAACATTATATTAGCTAGGCTAGTATTAATTTTTGCTGTGATCATAAATTGGATTTGAAAATTGTGAAATTTCACTCTAGTATCTAAAATGTTGGTATCATGAACAGAAGCAGGAACTTTATTTGTTGGGACGGGGGGGGGGTGTAGAGCAAGT